CCTACCTTCCAGTGAAGTCCGATGGTCTTATAGACCTCGACGAGCTTCGCGCTGCGATTCGGCCCGATACCGGGCTCGTATCGGTCATGGCGGTGAACAATGAGATTGGGGTTATTCAGCCGATGGAGGAAATTGGGGAAATTTGCAAGGAATTCAAAATTCCTTTCCATACCGACGCTGCTCAGGCCCTTGGGAAGATCCCAATCGAAGTGGACAAATGGAATGTGAGTTTGATGTCGCTTTCCGGGCACAAGGTTTATGGGCCGAAAGGGGTTGGAGCTCTGTATATGAGGCGGCGGCCGAGAATTCGGGTCGAGCCCCAAATGAATGGAGGTGGGCAAGAGAGGGGGATTCGAAGTGGCACCGTGCCCACGCCATTGGTTGTAGGGTTTGGTGCGGCTTGTGAAATTGCGAAGAAGGAGATGGAGTATGATCAGAAGAGGATAACAGAGTTGCAGGAACGAATGCTGAATGGGATTAGGGAAAAGCTTGATTTTGTTGTGGTGAATGGTAGCACCGAGAGACGGTATCCTGGGAATTTGAATCTGTCGTTTGCTTATGTGGAAGGGGAGAGCTTGTTAATGGGGTTGAAGGAGGTGGCCGTGTCGAGTGGGAGTGCCTGTACTAGTGCGAGTTTGGAGCCTTCGTATGTGTTGAGGGCTTTGGGGGTGGATGAGGACATGGCTCATACTTCGATTCGGTTCGGGATTGGACGGTTCACCACGGAGGCAGAGATTGACCGGGCAGTTCAGCTGACGGTGCAGCAGGTGAAGAAGTTGAGGGATATGAGCCCGCTTTATGAGATGGTGAAGGATGGAATTGATATTAAGAATATTCAGTGGTCACAGCATTGAGGAATTTTGTGAGAGGCAGTGGGTGAAGCAGCAAGTATAGATATGCACTCGTGAGCTGCAGCTGATGGAATAGATGGAGAATTCGAGGTTCATTCTGCTATCCTTGGTGTAAATGCCTTTGACAACTCTCCATAGTTACTCTATAACGAAATTTTGCAAACACGGTAGTTGTTTTCGGTATTTGCCTGGCGCTGTTGTGTATCCTTGGCATTTGATATGGGCCAGATAGATGTTGACGATACATTTCTAGGTCTGATATGTTATTTTCTTTCTTTGTTTTTTGTATCATGTTGAATAAATTATATTGCATTACAGAAATTATTCTGTGCGTTATATGATGCATGTGGTGAATGAGTAATGTTTGAATACGGTTTGTAGTTCCATTTTTTTGTTCTTACACATTATGCATATATGTGTGGGTATGCACAACAAACAAGATTTCCCCATTGATGAACTGAGTACCGTAGAAGATCGCACAAACATAGGAAATGGTTGCCTCCATTCATTTTAGTCTCTTTTCTTGAGTGCTTTAGTTTCGCGATGGTCTCGCAGACGTACAAGTCATCAAATACTTCTAAAGTATGTTATTGTATATTAGGGTTTATGGACAAGGAACACTTGCAAATGTCAACGAAAGAGTATTTCAGGGTGGTGGTGGTGATTTCTTAAATGGAATTTTTGTCTGTCTTGGCTTTTGCTTCTATAATTCTGGTAATATAGCCACTTGATCTTCCGGCTTTTGGTATTCAGTTGTTTGCTTAAAGTCTGTCAATTCTTCGTCTCTGTAAATATTTCAATACTCAGTTCAAGAGGACAACGTGCAATACGTGCACTATTTTCATCTCAGAGAAGATTGTTTATCCCTTCTCTTTATGGTGCCTTGAATTATCTCTTTACTCTTTTAGCTGGGAGTTATAGAGTGTAGACAACGAGAACCTCATTGCTCATAATACACCTGCAATGATTTGATTGAGAGTTTGATTGATGAGCCTGGTGTATGGCTAATGTTGTTATTTCTTGAAGGGGCCGTCTGTATTTGATTGCTGTATGTGTTTTAGTAGCACGAACGAGTGCACTATAACTTACAAGGCCAATATCACTCACTCTGCGGGGCCTTAATTATTGGTTAGTTTAAACTGAACTGTTTTCTAGTCTTCTCTAATAAAGCTCCAGCTAATGTTGTGTTAGCATCTCCAAGACCCGGATCACAAGTTCACAACTAGGAGGGTTATACTCAAGCAAAGCCAGCCCCTTCTTTCATCCCAAATGAAGCTAATTCATGAGCTACTGTGCTATCTCAAGCTGTGTTACAGTTGACTTTCATCTACCTCACCTGGGCACCAACACAGCAAGGTGGTAACTAAAATCTTACAGCATAAGCAACGATCTACTAGTGTAAAAGTCCATTGTTGGTTCCTCCATCGTAACCGTCTTCCATCAGATCGCCGTTAGTTCCAGCTTCATGTATCTGCCACTTCCGGTGCGGTTTACAGAGATGGTTGCTTACCAGCTTGTGAAGTACTCGTTTATCCTTATTACTACACTAGCTACACCACCATCGCTTGAAACACTTGAGCTTCAGTTCTCGTCTTAGTAGGGGAGGAGAGGATGATGGGCCTTATTGGGGAGCCTGAATAAATCCAGTCTCTTTTTTAAGCAAGTAAAAAAATTTCTTAAAAACAAAGGGCGTCGATATCAATTTGTGGTGAAAAAAGGGATCAATAAATTAAATGCAATCCCTTTGCCTTGAATAAGAGTGGGGGATGTTGCCTTTGTGGAAGAGGCCAAAAAGGTCCAATTCTAGTGAAACAGAGTTGAATTATTTTCCAATCCACAAGGGACCACTTCTTCAACTTAGAAGCTGATTGCACTAACAAACATAACATCATTTAATTTTGGAAATAACTTGTGATGCTATTAATTTTAATATCCCATAGATTTGAAATAAACTGAGGCAGAGATTTTGATTTTCTTCTAATACTTTTGCTCATCCCAAATGCCTTGTAAATTATGTTTAATTCATTCCCAAATGGGATCCTACTGCAAACCTGGAAGTTTATTCATCTGCTTGGTTGTCTTGCCTCCATCGCATCGGTAGCTTGGTATATGTGTATTTGAAGATCTAAACCCAGGAAACTTTTATGCTATTATTCTGCTCTAAATTGTCTTTTCTATTGATGTGTCTCGGTTCACCTGCCACCGGAGAATCTAAGAATATTGTGGCAGTGGGGGCTCCCCATGCCAGAAAATTTTATGCTTACCCAATTCTGATTTGAATTGTGTTTCTTACTGCTCTCTTCTGTTTGGTTGCGCTTTCAGGCCTAAACTTGCGTTGCTTCCCATTCCATGAAATGAAAGTGCCCTAACGGAGAGGCTGTCACACTAGTTACCATGGATAGTGACTGGGGAGCGGCCTATCCCTATTGTAACTGTTGATTGTTGGAGGACGTTTTGTCCATGCCCTACGGATGGAGAAGTTTCAATGTGTTATTTTTTTGGGGTTTGGTGTTTGTGACATGAAAAAAAGCGCAAAAAACTTGGGAGAATGAATGAGGCATGGAGAAGTTTCAATGTGATTGTTTGCACCAACCAACATTCTCATCTCATTTTTGAATTGCACGTGAATTACAGAGTTTCAAGGCAAGGCTTTTGCCCAAACAAGATAAGCTGCTGCTGCGCACATATAAATTAAAACTTTTCTTTTTACGTGAATGATTTGTTAATTTTCTGTGTGTGTGTTATTTTCTCGATGAAAGGAGGACCACTGCAGAAGAAAAAAAATAGTTGTGACTTTTTTATTATCTCCAAGTGTTTTCCCACAGGAATGTTCATGGGGTTGTGGTTCCATGGAGTGATACAAAGTTTTAAGCGAGCCTTCAAATGTTAATTTAATCAACTTCATTTGAAGAGTTAGAATGGACTTATAAACTCAAGACGTTACTTGAAGAAATGAAAAATATCACTAAATTAAAAGTTAGTTAATAATGTCGATATTCGTTTGAGTAATGCATAATTATTATCCATATACATAATCTAAAATGTTAATGCTAAATATAGCACGACATAATTATAAACCATGTTAAGCATGTTACGAAGCACAAATTAGCTCAAGTGTAATGGACATGTTACATGACACATTTCTTATCATCGCTAACAATCCAAAGGAAAGCCAAAAGTGCCAAATCTCCTTTTGGACAAGCTGTTAGTTGCAAACTAACTACAAAATTTTACGTCAGCAAAAGTATGGTTAAAGGGAGATAGAGCATCTGGGGAAATGCATAGTGTACTTTTTTGCTATAAAAAGATCGCAGTTAAGTGGTAAATGGGTGTTTTGTTACGCTACGTTACCTCTGTAAATTCCAACGTCTAATTCTTGGGAACAACGGAACGGTAGCGTGGTGAAATGGTAAAAATCTCGCAAATTTGGAAAAATCTTAGTCTACCAAAAATGTCCTGCATTGCGTTGTACATCTCCTCCTTTCTCATCTCTCATCAGTTTTGTGCACAAAACAAGGCCACAGTAGCAATGTAATTGTCACTTTCCATCATACAAAAATCAAGAAAAAAATAAACAGAAAATAAAAAACAAAGAAATCAGGGTCCAATCCAAGCCTCCAACTTCCAAGCAATGATATTTGCATTAAGTATATATGCTAATCAGAGATGTCAGACAGAGCTAATAAGAACAGGGGAAATTACATGGCCAAAGGAACCGATATTTAAACTTTTTTTTTTTTTTTTGGGGTAGTAAGATAATAATTATCCTCCATTTACAGGATCCAAAAATGGTAATGCTCCTAAATTAACCATAATTAATTATAATTAAAAAAGTTAATCATCATGATCAGGGGTTGAAGATGGAGTTTCCACATTTGCATTTCCAGCTCATGGGCTTGTAGTTGCTGGAGTTTTCATCACCTCTGGCATAAGCAATGGTGGATGCAACAGAAGAGGAGTTTTTGTTGCCTGATTTGACTTGGGGGTTTGCAGGCACTTGAATGGCCTCACAGTGCCCACATGAACTGCACCTTCTCTCACACCTTGGAGGCCTTGAACCTATCTGCCCTCTTACAATCACTTTCTTCTCTTCATTTCCTGCCTACCCAACCATACAAAAACACCAGAAAAACAAAATTTTAATGCATTGAATTCTTCAAAAACTCACTGGTGTTTGATGAAAGTTCAAAGAGAAAGCATTGCACTAGTATATGATGAGTAATCAATAAATAGTTGTAAACCCACCTGGGAAATCCCAACCCTGTTGTGAATTGCTCTGCCTTCAGCCATGAATCTCAACTGGGTTAACTGGGCCGAGCTCAGAATCAGGAGAAACAGAAGAGAAATTGTGTGATGGTGTAAGCAAGCCATTTAAGTGGAAATGGAGAGGAAGCTTTGAGAGAGAGAGAGAGTGAGGGACTAAAATGTGTGGGGGCAATTTAATAGATGTGAAAAGTGTATATATTGTGTTGTAAAAGCAATTAGAGGGTCAGTAACAGAATGACAGGTTAATATATGTATATATAGAGTTATATAAAAGTAGGTTTAATTCAGTGAGAAGTAGCAGTGGGATTTTTGAGGTGACTGAACATGGATACTTGGATGGACAAATGAGAAAATGCAGAGGCAAAAGAAGCAAGAAAAGGGAGCTATGAAAAGAGAATAACTCTCAACCTCGATTTGGGAGACCAACTACTGCACTGCACACACAACAAACAAACAAAGATTTACACAAACAGAGACGGAGGACAAGGAACCCAAACAGCAAAACACCACAAAAACAAATTAACAACCCCACAAGATATGAGGGGATGGGATCCAGTTCCTGCCAAAAAACGTGGATTTACAGCTGTGGTTTTTTGGGCTTTCGCTTTCCTCGAAAATTTGAGACTTTTTTTTGTTCTTCTTTTTCGTACCATTTATTATTTAAAGGGTTTTTATTTTAACCAAGTTTTGTTTCTAGGATTTCTTGTTGCGGTTGGTCTGAGCAGTCCTACCTAATCACGCCATATGCATATCTCTCTCTGTGTGTATATATAAAGATATATGTGTATGTATGTATATCTGTGTGTGTGAGAGGACATTGTACTCTCACTCACCCACTCATTGAGCTGTTTTCAATCATGATAGTGTAATCACATGTCCCGAATCGAAATGCTCAGTTTTCATCATTCATTTAAAATCACATTCCCTTTTCTTTCTTTTTTTCCTACTTGTTTGAATCACATTCGTTATCAACTTTTTACCGCCAAAATGTGAGCTTCATTACACTATTTTTGGCCAATGAAAATGAAACTTGGATTATCAAGCGCAGAATATGGTACAATTACACAACGTATGGATCGGAAGGAAAACTTTTACCAATGCCACCTGAATTGTTAGAAAGTGCCACTTGAATAAAAAAATTGAAGCAATGTCACCCAATTAAAAATTAGGAAAATTAGGTATTAGACATAATTAAGTTTACTAATTAGGAAGTGAGATATTAGGTATTTTAGTTTGGGTTTTAATACTTAATAAAAAATAGCTATTTTAGATTAGGCCCAAGGCTGGCCCAGATTCGTTGGGCTAGCTTAAAAATGACAAATAAAAAGACAATTATACCATTTTCTCTTAAAAAGCCTGGCCCATCTGTAAACCTACAAATTAAATGATGCTTTTGCCTCTCAACGTTTAAACGACGCGCGAGTTCCTTCTCTTTTTCGTTTGTTTTCTTCTTCGTTTCAGAGCTAGGTTCTGCCATTGGAGCTCAATTTTCTGGTAGGTTTTGCTTTTATTTTCTTCGTTTTTCTATCTTCTTTTTTCTGCTACGTTTTCGTTCGATTTTCATGCTGAATGACTGTCAGTTTTGGGTGATTTCTGTTCTCTTTAGTTCGGGTATTTCGAGCTCAGTTTTGTGGCTCGATTTTGCGGCGCGATCTTGTGGCGTTCAATGCTAAACCCTATATTCTTCGTTTCGTGATCAGATTTGATTTTAAGCTGCTGTTTGGTTGTGGAGATTTTTGGCAGTCCTAAGTTTTGAGGTATGAGTACTTTAGAACCTGTTTTCGATTATGTCGACTTGTATGTTTATGGAATTTAGTTTTAGTACTTTTATCGTGGTTTCCTTTTGGTTTCTATTCGAATTGTTTTGATTTTCTGTCATAAACTACATCTGTCTGCAGTTTCTTGTTCGAGACCAGAAACTGCAGTGCAGTTTCTTGTTCGATAATTCAATTTCAGAATAATTTTTGCAAGTATATTGGAATGTTACAACTGCTGGCCTACTGAAATGTGATTTGATATTAGTTTTAGTACTTTGATTATGCCTTTACCTTTTGAGCAGCAGTGCAGATTTTGACCAGAAACTGCAGTGCAGTTTCTTGTTCGAGACCAGAAACTGCAGCGCAGTTTCTTGTTCGATAATTCAATTTCAGAATAAGTTTTGCAAGTATATTGGAATGTTACAACTGCTGACCTACTTAAATGTGTTTTGATATTAGTTTTAGTACTTTGGCAGAAACTGCATTGCAGTTTCTTGTTTCATAATTCGATTTCAGACTAATATTTGGAAGTCTATTGGAATTTTACAACTGCTCATGTACATTATTTACTGATTTAAATTGTTTTCTGTTTTTGTTTGTTGTTTTGTTTGCATTTTCAAGGCTAATGGAGGTGTGTGTCATTGCCAAGTGCACATATAAGTCGGAAACCATTATGTTTTCAGTTTCATCAGAGTCATCCATGGTTGATATTTTGAAGACTTTGTGTCTAAGGTTTAAGGGTTTGCAGTTGGGTTGTTTTACGTTACGGTATTCGCTGCCCAGTTATCCGAGTTGTTTTCTAGAAACGGATAGCGATTTGGACATGATGAGGTCATTTTTGTTTGTATCAAATGAGAAGAGTGTTGATATTTTAGTGAAGGATTTATGCGGGAGCAGTGAATATAGTGGTGATTTTTGTGCAAATAAGGAGTTGATAGCATGTGAAAAGGGCGAGTCGTCGTGTTCTAGTACTGTCGAAGACAGAAATGAATTTTTGGGCAGGTCGAAGAGAGCAAGTGCTAAGCCTTTGTTGTCGAATGAGTGGGAGACGTACATACATCATGTAGGGCAGAAGTTTGACGGTGGTGCAGAGGAGTTCCGTTTGAAATTGTGCAAGTACGCTCTTGAAGTAGGATTTAATTTTTTATATGCCGGCAATGACAAGAAGCGGGTGGTTGCTATTTGTTCGAATAAGAAATTGGAGGGTTGTAGCTGGCGTGTTTATGCTTCTCGTTGTGAAGCTACTGGCTGTTTTGTAATTCGGACATTAAATAATGTGCATACATGTGTGGGTCGGATACGGGAATCAAAGAGTAAGATGATGAAGTCTCGTGTGGTGTCCTCCCTCATTGTGGACAGAATTCGTGCAAAACCAGAGCTGAAGCCAGTTGAGATTATACACGAGTTCAAAGATTATTATGGTATAGACATTTCATACTACCATGCATGGTTTGGCAAAGAGTTAGCTAAATTGAACGTTCACGGTGATGAGTCGAAGTCCTTCAACGAGTTAGTGTGGTATGCGGACGCCGTAAAGGAAACTAACCCTGGTTCTCTCTGCACTCTTGAATGTGAAGCTGGAATTAATCGCTTTAGACGGTTTTTTGTGTCGTTTGGCGGTTGCATTGCTGGATTTCAATATTGCATACCCTTGTTGTTCGTTGATGCTACGTTTTTGAAGAGCAAGTACAAGGGGCAGCTTCTCTGTGCTTCCGGAAAGAATGGAAATCAAGGTATGGTTACTGTAATGTATTGCAGATTCCATTTGTTGCAATTTTTTAGCAGAAACTGCATTGCAGTTTCTTGTTTCATAATTCGATTTTCTTAGTAATTTTTTTATGTCTGTGGGAATGTTGCAACTGCTCATGAACTTAAATGTGTTTTAAATTTAGTTTTAGTACTTGGATCATGGATTTGCCTTTTGGTTTCCTTTCAAATTTGAGCAGATTTGTTTTCAAAAACTGCACTGCAATTTCCCTTTTTTGCTTATACTTGTGCTCTTGGTTTTGTTTTGCAGGGTTTTATCCTCTAGCTTTTGGAGTTGTTGATTCTGAGACAGAGGAGAATTGGACTTGGTTTCTTCAACATTTGGCTTCTATTTTGCTACCGATGGGGAGAGTGGTGACCTTTTTTTCGGATCGCAATCAAGGTTTGTTAAATGCAACGGGGTTTGTGTTTCCTGGATGGCCTCATTCTTACTGTTACTATCACCTCAAACAGAATTTGATATCGAAGTACCCGAAGTCAGGTTATGGGAAATTGCTCCAAGACCGTGTTATCAATTTATTTAGTAGGTGCGCATATACTATTACAGAGGAAGAGTTTACGATAGCAATGGAGGAGTTGGTGATTGTTGGGAGTTCGTAAGTGAAGACATTTATATCTGATTTGTCTAGAGATCACTATGCGAACGCATATTTCAAAGGAATGCGGTATGGGGAGATTGCAAATAGTTTAGCGGAGTCATTTAATAATTGGGTTGGTGTGTTTTGAGATTTACTGGTGCTACCTTTGATAGAAGGGATTCAACAGAAATTGATGGTATTGAATTCTCAACGATGAATTGAAGCGGAGAAGTGGACAACAATTTTGTGTCCGGAGATGGAAACTAGACTGTGGGAAAATGCGGAGGCCGGTAGGACTTGGGTAGTTCGTCGTTCTAGTTTCACTGTTTTTGAAGTATTTGCTGATTATTCTGTGATGGTTGATCTTGAGCAAAGGACTTGTTCTTGCCGTCTTTGGCAAATTGACGGTTTTCCTTGCACGCATGCGGTAGCTGCAATTCTAGCAAAGAAAGATTCAATTTATGATTACGTGGAGTGTTACTATAGGACTGACTTCTTTCGAAAAGCCTATGAGAGTCCTATTTTCCTATTCCAGATATTGGGAAAGGCTTGGGCAGCAACAGTTTTGCAGCTGGATTTGTGCTTCCGCCAATTACAAAGAGGCCAGCCGGAAGACCACCAACAAAGAGGATCAAAGCTTTTGGTGAATTTAAAAGGCCATTGAAATGCAGTCGGTGTAGTGTTACTGGGCATAATAGGAAGACTTGCAAGGCTGTGATATGAACATTCCTTCTCAGTTGACGATTGCTTACGTTAGATATGGTTTAGTGAATGTATAGTCAGTTTCTGCATTGCAGTTTTAGTTGCTTTTAATTGGCTACACAGCTTCTAATTGGATATTATGATTGTTTTTTGAAGTTAATGAAAATTATACAATTGTT